TGAAATGTACTGCAATAATTATCGAATAGTTAAAAAGTTTTATATCTTTACTCTAAGCAAGCTATCCTAGAAATATTGACTAAATGTTGCCAAATGGCAACATCCGGCCGGAAAGGGTTAAGCTCAATAGCGGAATTAATTGTAACAATGAATTCATAAAGTAAAAGTACTCTTAATTTTTATGTTATTTATATTTATCTCAACAACACTACTCGAATGTCATGAATTAATTTATAAAATAAATTATATTTGTTGCACTTACGACATAATAGAAGAAGCGAGGAATGTAGAGCGCGGATGTTGCTAATAAAAATAAGGTCACGTACGACATTGCATGGTTACATATAGAAAAAGAATCGTTTGAGCATGGTTATTGACAGAAATTCATCTTCATTTATCTAAGACAACTGAAAAGGCAAAGAAGAATTTTGCCATCTTAAATATGAATTCGTGATACGATTATCAATAGTGCAATGCATAGAAAACTTCAATCAATCAGCTCTAATTTTAGATTAATTATTCATAGCAAAAATTCAAGAGCGAAAGATGCAATGACTGATAAAACTAATGATACAAAATTTCACCTGAATATCGCAAGTTCTTGTAAATAGTTCCTAATATTAGCCACCCTATTTGTTATAAATCAATGATCTCATGTCAAGTGCATATATTAATAGTTAATATTTTTGCTGATTCATTATCAGATTTTCATCCGTTTAACAATGTCACAAACACACAATACATAATCAACCGAAATTTTTCATTGAAAATGAAAGTTGAATCATGTTGTACACAAATAGGAAACTTCTTCAACGTGTACGCATGTGCGATAGATGTGTAGGACAGTTGCTCGTTAAGCATGTGAGTCTTCTCTTCACTCGTATCCACACATTAATCATCCATGACATACATATTTTCTAGATCATTTACATTTACAAAAAATGTTTGTGTCACTTTTCCGGACGATTGAATATTAACAAAGGTGTGTTTTTGAAGCTTCTTTATATAATAAATGGTGAAACTTTTAGTAAGATCGAACGCAAAAAAAACTTCCTCTGTAAAACCGGTTTTCTAGAAATTCTATTAACACTGTTCTAATGAAAATCTCATCAAGTTTTGGATATAAATAAATCATATTTTAAATAAATTGTTATCTGTACAAAATAGAAACTGACTTTTCTTATATATGTTTCTTTATTACTGCTTTTAATAAGTTAATAGTATTCATTATTGATGAAACACAATCTTATCTGTTTGTAATACGGTGTATTTTATTATAATTTAATTCATACAAGAGCAAAAAAGAAAGAAGCATTGGCACAAATGACGACAAGGAAAAATAAAACAAAGGCAAAAGGATTACAAGAAAAATATATTGCAAACAAAATGACTACAAAAAGAATAGAGAGAAAAGATCAGTGACATGTATATGCCAATAGGAAATTTTGACTAGAAAGCAAAATATAATATTTTCATTATGTACATATATGTATATATATATATTTTGATTTCATTTTCTTTTTATGTAAATTGAGGTTTATAAGCTAGATAAGCTTTTAAATTGTCAGGTAAACGTAATTGTTTAATTTGTTTTCGATCAACATAACGTAAAATATTTCTTCGTGTTACTTCTTTTAATGTTGTACATGTATATGGTAATGAATAAACTTCAATAAGACGTACATTTGATGATGGTTCAATATTTTTTAAAACAGCTAATGTTGAACCACAATTTGATAATGATGGATAAATATTAAATAATAGGGAAAATTCATTTGTAAATACAAATGGAGAAAAAAATGGACCACGATAATCGATGATACTACGTGTATGTAATAATGTGGAAGAGTTGAGAATATAAAGAAAATAATTACGTTTAACACGTTGAAATATTGGAACTGAAAGAAATGAAAAATATGAAAATTCAGGATACTAGGTATTTCTGTCATGATGTTTTTCATAATTCTTACAGAAGAGAAAATCTTAATAAAATATAGTAAACTATGGCGCGAACGTCTTGGCACGAAATATTCACTCATTTTTTTTTTGACACTTAAAGACAATTGATTAGGACCAAAAAGCAGTTAGTGAATTTTTTTCTGGGGTAAGATTGAACAATTATCATCATCAGATTGTTTCAAATAGGGGTTGTACAGGGTACTGTTTTGATCAATTTTGTATCTCGTTTTACTTGAAGCTATTGCCATTCAATCGATCATAATGAGTAGTAAAAAGTTCTGTTTTCATTTGGTTTTCGCTTATTAAGTCATTCATATTTTAGTCAATTTTTGCCCTTTGAGTATAAGAACCTGAATGATAGAATTTCAAGCTGAAATTTCGCCCACGAGTACATCCTATAGTCACTAGAAACAACTAAAAGTTGACACATCAATTCGAATATATTTATCCTAGCGCAAACGTCGAGAATGTTCTAGTGGCTGTAAAACTTTTCGGCAGGCGAAATTTCAGCTCGATATTCGATTATTCAGGTTCCTATAATCATAGAGCAAAAGTTGAGTAAAATGTCAATAACTGCAGTAAGTAAAGACCGGAAAACCAAACTAAAATAAACATTTTTGCTATTCATTATGATCGATCAAATGGCAATAACTTCAAACAATTGGATAGTTGAAAATATTCTCTTGTCAGTTTAGTAGAGTAAATCTTGTCTAAAAAGGAAAATATGAACATATATTAGGAAATAGCAAATATCGTGCTCTAGCGTTATATGAACTTTGTGGTTAAATATTTCAAACCTTAATTTTTTAATTTTGAAGTAAAGGCGTTTTATTACAAAACTTAACTTTTGATAAATCTCAATGTAACTAATAAAACTTTTATTAATGTTCTTTTTCAGGCTTTTCCTTCTGGATTTTTTTTCCCCTTTTATCTAACGGGTGTCACAGAAATAATGAGCCTCTCAGTATTTTTAAGATTTATTCTCTATAATTCCTATGATTGAAGTTCTTTTTATTATCAAGAGATAGCGCTTGAAATTCTCTACAAAACTACGTATGACTAGACCCCAAAACAGTTTTAGATATATTTAAAAAAAGTCGAAAACAAGCGACATATACACAGCTGTAAAAAGTAAATATAAGCCCCATAATAAATGGCTGCACTTTGCACTTCATATTTTAATCTGGAAATAATTTTTATTAAAAAAACAAAATATACTACAAGATGCAGCGTGAAAAGCTCTACAACCTACAAATTAAAGTTGATTTTAAGAATATACTTTTTGTTTTCAAAAAGAAGCAAACCTCTGTGCGATCGATTTTCCCTGTTTCGAAACCCGATCGCACAGAGTTTGGAGTTTTTTCGAACATAAAAAGTACACAAATAAAATAAAACTATTCTTTGTAAACTGTGGAGCTTTTCAAGCTGCATCTTGTAGTATATGTTATTTCTTTGAAAGAAAACATTATGTGATAAAAAGAGAAAATAAGAAAAAGGAATTCTCATTCATGTAAAAAAAATTATTTTTTCACAAGGACGAAAATTGGTCGCACAGAGTTTTGCTTTTTTTTGAAAACAAAAAGTATATTATTAAAATAAACTTTAATTTGTAGGTTGTAGAGCTTTTCACACTGCATCTTATGGTACATTTTGGTTGTTCATACAATGTATTAAGGGATTGAAAACTAGTCCGTTCTCACACGCTGTGATCTAGTACAACCAGCACACAACCAGCCGAAATAGGTTTTATAGATAATTTAATATTATTAT